AAATTGTTATAGTAAGAGTATGTATTGATAAGCAGTGGTTACAGACAGATTAAGGATGTTGAACTCACTGCAGAACTGGACAATTAGAGAGAGACTGATGGTCCAGCTGCAGCACCTCAGGTCGGCCCTGGCACGGAGCAACCTCATGTGCACACTGGGCCCTGTGTCCCAGTGGCACAGCCCTACCAGTCCTACAACGCAGCCTTAGTGACCTCTTAAAAAGAGTCCCAGTGTCCCAGAGTTCTCCTCAAAACAATGAGCGCGTTCTCCCTCCACTTGTATTATAACTCCCTCCACACAGGATGACACAATGCTCTCTATTCGCCTAGAGTGGCATTCCTAAAACTCCCAGCAGCAGATACCGACGGCCCGTGCTCTCAATGTCCAAACGTTGAACTAACTCCCAGAGCCGCCCGCCTCTGCTTCCCATAGCTCCCTTTGGCCGCTGTTTAAAATTTACCATATGCATTTGGCTCAAACCCGTCCCAACCCCCGCCTCGTCTATGAAGGCTCACTTTGTTGCAGGATGTAATGAGATATACAGTACATAAAATAAAAAAAAATACTGGAAAGGGATTCCAGAGGGATTGCTTAAAGATAAGAGATAAATTAAAGGTATAGAGGATGATCTTTTGTTTCTGGGTGGATCATCTAAATAAGTGGTCCTCCTAATTGTCAATCATTCTGGTGATATGTTTACGTAAGACCATCCTATGTGCTCGTCCCCAGTTAGCTCTTTTTCTGCGCACGCCAGAACAAAACTTCCTTGCGAACCTTCCGCCACGACAACCCTGCTCCCTTGATAAACGACCAATAACATTCACTTTATTCACTCGTGTAAGGTCAGGCACCACACGGGACAATTCAGAAATGCAAGGATTGGAACAGCCATTTCCCTACAACTTTAATGTTTTTTTTCTTTTAAACAATACCTTTATATACCATGGTTAAGTTTACCAGTTTCCTATCCTTGTTTTACACAGACACACCGACAACCACAAACATCCTAGCCTTACTATATGAGGGGAGGACCAGCAAGTAAGGACTAAACGTCTGAAGTAATGACCAGCAAGATGTATTCATTGGTACAAACAGCCCTTAATCTGACAAATCAGATCAGAAAATCAGAAAAATTTGGGTGAGTATTGACATGGGTTGTGTGATATGATATGTGTAATGATACTAGGGTCAAAATACGATATCACGATATTGAAATATTTCAATAAAATATTTCAGCTGAAGGCTAGGTCTAGCCACCAAATCTCCTCCGGAGAAGAGTCCGTGTTTGCTGGCCGACACAAAATACTTGCTGCCTACAATTCAGAGTAGCTGAACATAGAGTCGTGTTTATCCTGCATTTCAAATCAGATTCAACACAGTGTTTTGTCAACCGATTGCTGAAGCAAAGGAGAAAGAGACTTGCAAGACTCTCCTGTTCTGGCCAACTCATTTAACAGCCAGGTCCAGTTGCTGTTTGTCTTAGCCAACTAGCCATGCCACACTGGTCCTGAGCCACTGCAATCACTGTGAAACCACCGGACTGTGACTCATTGGTCTGGCTGCAGTTCGGAACTGTGCTGCCACCGTCTGAACCACTGCTATAAGCCAACCGCAGCCTTAATGGGACCCCCTCGTCTATGGCTACAATGAGTGACAAAATTAAGCCCTGCAAAGTTTAATTCAGTTGTTTGGATCAGAATAACTCAAATCTCTTTGATAGACATCTGTTGGATGATTAATACTCTGCTATGGTGAAAGATAGGTAGCATAAATATTTTACAGCCATTTGTATTTTATTTGAATTAAGCTTTCTGATTCAACTGCTAATGTTATTTAAAAAGAAAAGTCCATTCAGCAAGAAATAACCAATGGGTCATTATTTATACCTAAATCTAACATGTTCATGGCAATTTAATTAATTTAGCATTAATCAGTAAAAAACAAAAATAATATTTTTCGTTGGAATCACTGAGTCCGGGAACGGCCATTTTTGCCAAAATATAGTAACACCATACTCCTGACATCTTCCAGGAGTGATGTCACGGTGCGGTAAGCCTAGGGCCATTCTCCCCACCATACATGCAAAATCAATGGGAGCTACTAGACACCCCTGCAATCCACAACAATTACTTAAGTTTTCGAGAGGACTTCACCATTGAAATTCGCAAGAGCTATAGTTAAACTGACAATTCCACGTGCATGGCAGTTGGATGTTGTAATACATCGGGTAAAAGTTAAAAAAAATTAGTTATTTCACCTTTTCACCACAAGTTTGTTGTTAGATTGCCAACTGGAAGAGGGAGGATTTGCCATCAAACTTCTGGCCAGAGAAAAAACACGTCATTAATCGGTTACTCTCTGCTTCGCATAGCGCACTGGTCATTTCCATCATGGATAATAGTGCGTTGTGACATAGACCAGATACAGCACTGGAACTTGATCAACAGCCGATACCACACAGCCGATACACACGTCACAAACCGGTAAGTGACAATAGTGTTCTTTGACAACCATGAATGTCTCCAGTAAAGCACATTCAGAATAAATTACTCTTAATTAAAAACACTTAATATTTATTGAAAAGTATGTAATATTTTCATACTTAAAGTACTTTCAGAAGTTTGTATTCTGAAGGTGACCAGACTTTTCCTTTAAGTAAAGAGTTCTGAACTGAATCCTAATGCCCACTGAGCCTTACTGAATGATCCATTCTGTGTTTTATGACTGCTTAATTCCTCTTTCTCCATTTGTTTGAAGAGTTGGGTTACTACAGTTGGGCTGGCTAGCATTGTTAGCTTCAAGCTACCTCATTGCCGGTCCCATGATAGCAGCCATGTTAAGAGTCCCATAACTCTTAGACCCCAAACCCTTCCCCCAATAACCGGATATCCTGTTCCAGCTGAAATAACCTGTTCTTTCCAGAGTCAGCGTCACTATATTTAAATGCATCCCTGAGTAATTTTTTATTTCAAAACAGGGTGAAACTTCACTGTTTTTATTACATTTCATATCTCTGCATCAGGGTTATTAACATTTATGTGCTGCTATTTTAAAGGACACTTTAGGCCCTTAAACCTTGGACATTCCTCAGATAGTATTGAATGGACTCTTAACAACCCCTTTTCCCCTTTTATTTGCTTTTATTTACTTGTGTTTATTTTCAGTAATGTTTAGTATTTTCATAGTTCTTAGATAAAATAATACTGTGTGATTATTAGCTAATAAAGATACCACTGTATTTTAACCCATGGTCGTCTGTGGTTATTTTATGCAGTGAACGATTTATTACTCAGGTCAGAACAACCCTTCTTTTGGTAAAGAGGTTAATGAACAGAGATTAACAACTCTGTTAATAGCCATAGTGAAAATTACTAACTTTATGAAGACAACTGAATTCTATCAGTCAATCCAGGAGTCCAATCTTCATGTAAAAGATAAAGAACCCTGGTGAATACCCAACTTACAGTTATAATCAATAATAACTGAATGAAATGTTAATTAGCAATAACTTTGCTAGTTCTAGTTATTTAATACGTTCATAATTTTCTGGTTAACTTGCACAGCATAGGTCATCGGTAGCTATTTTCTATCATATCTTCTGTAAGTCTAGGCTGCTGAAGCACATGGGGACTACTTTTTATAATGATGCTACATTCTTTCTATAGTCCCATTCTGCAGTACTTGTTAGTTTCACCCCTAACTTTATGTTCTCTCTGCTTTTTTCTTGACATAGTAGCTTCATCTGGTCTGCTCCTGTTTGACTATGACTCGATGTTCTTTCTTTTATCTAAATAAGCAACAGATAGAGGCCTGATCTGCAGAAATTCAGTTACCATCAAGTAATTTACCTGCAATAAAAAGGTATAGATATCCACTCAGTTATTTTAAATGGAATTCACCAAGCACCAAGCAGTCTTTCCTTCATTCTTTTATCATTTATATTCAGGCATGAATTGAAAAGCTCTTTTCAGTTGCTGTTGTTTTTTTTTTTTTGTCCAGGTGAACGACCTTGAAACAAACTATACAAAGAAACACAGATCAGATCAGATCTGGAATAGAGAAAAGAACACTCATGTTTGTAGTTAATACAATAATAACTGATTTCAGAATAAAAATTTTCAACAACATAATTTAGCTTCAAACAATATATGGCCATATTCAACATCTTTCAACTTTGTCAGCAGTCCCCCTTTTTAACAATTCCATAAATAGCCACCAAAACTGTTTTTTTTTTCCGATGAGCAAATGAATAAAAAGAAGTTTACTTTAAATGTTTAGCAAAAGCAAAACTAATCTGCCTGGTCAGCTCTTCTGACGAAGCAGTGGGAAGAGTTTCTGATCAGAAATACCTGATCTCCTACATTTGAAGAGATTCAGGCAATTCCTGCAGTCATGCTTCTAAGCTTGAACAGAATTTGCTAAAAAGCATTTAGAACTCTTTTGGTCTTCAACAAACCAAAATTAATCCAAGAGCTCATCAATGTGAAATCAAGAACCTCAAAAAGAACCAAGAACAATATTTTAACTGCTGCAGGTCTCACTAGCTTAATTTAAAGTTGGCGATCATGATTCAACAATAGGAAAGAGATTTGGTAAAAATAGCTTCCATTGGAGAGTTCTAAGGCAGAAAAGAAAAACACAAACCGCTGACCCTAAAGATCATACATGCTTGTCCCATAGCCAAAAAGCTTATAGATTGCCCCAAACATTTACTGACTTGACAAGACAAAAAATAGTTAAGATAACTGTAAGAACATGGACTATAATCCTCTTCAGGAAAACACCAGCTGCCAGTTTTTAGAAATGTTACATGGCTGTTGTTGCCAGAAAATTTGGAAAACTTGTTTGTAGTGTTAAGGGAAATTGCTTTTTAACATTGGATTTATTTGGGTGGCTTTTCATAATCTTAAAACTGCTCTTCAGGTTAATTCAGTTTGATATTATTTTTGTTAAATTATCTTAAAAATGTAAATTGTGACAAAAAACAAATGGATACTGACCTTTGTAAGTGGACTGGGGGGCTTTGTGAGAATGCCTCCAATGTAGACTACATGTGGAAGAGTGGGCCTTGGGAACTCCAGGGCCATGTCAGTGCACAGCATCCACAGCCTGCTCCCCTGTACCAAGTCAGCCATGGCTGCATACGGCTTTACTCCATGCTTTCTCATAATCCGGTCATATTTGGGTAACACAATGTAATGGACTCCAAAGCGCTGTGCCAGGTAAACGCCTGTATTAGCGATCCTCTGCAGAAAGGACATGCGGTCTGTCAAGAGTGAGTTGAATTCTGGCACGTATGACAACGGCGCCGGGGCTCCCACTTCTGCTGGGTACCACAACCCTGTGCTGAAAACGGCATACTGCACACCCAGAATATGAGCAATCACAAAACCACACATTTCATTAGGGTCCACTAGTAGCAAGTCGAACTTAGCCTCCTTCAGGTGGTTCATTACTGCACCATTGCCGACAACAGCATCACAGTTCTGAGAGTAGTGGTCAAGGATATCAAACAGTTCAAGAAATGTCAAGCGTCCTGAGAAGATGTTGCTGACTTTAGACTGGAGGAAGTTGTCAGCTGTCGTGCTGTTAAAGATCCCTGGATAGCGCTGTAAATGGTAATGAGGAGAAGGTGGGACCTCACGGCCCTCTGAAACTAGAAAATGGGTCTCATGACCCTCTTGGTGTAGTGCCGTTGCCAGAGTCTTGAAGATGTAGAGGTGTGATTCAAACATAATAGGTGGGACCACAATGATTTTAGCAGCCCATGATGAGCTGGGACTCCAGGTGAGGAGGCTAAGTGCAAGTAGCACTGACGATGGCAGCAACATGGCTAAAAAAAAAAAACACACACACACAAAAAAGTTTATGTTAGCATTGGGTGAGGTAAAAATGTAAGAAAATCTTAAAACGAGTAGTACATCATATTTATACATACATACATACATCATTTTGAAGGATTAAGAATCTAATAAAAAGGCCTTAAGACCTTGGAACTTAGAAAGGAACACCAGAAGGTAGTTTATCACAATGAGACCTAAGGAGTAAAACAAAGAACTGCCTGGCTAACTAATAAAGGTTTTTACTGGCCACCAAGCAACTGTTGGATGCTATGGAAATGCTATCTACATGCCAACTTAAGGTCAGGTGATAGAGCCAAGATGATTTCTTCACCTACTGGAATGTTTAAACTTTGCTAAACACACGTACTCAAATGGTAAAAAGGCCAGCAATAGGTGTTTCCTTAGGAGAATGATGTCACATATATATTCAGATCAACCCAGAAATGGCCCAACTGACTGTAAATCAGTCATAAATTTATAAATGAATAAGGAAAAAAACGTAATTAATAAATCATTGCTTCAAAACTGTAAGGCATCCGTTTTGGTTGGAGTCGTCAGACTGAACAATTTCATGCTACCTCTGCATGTGCTGGGCTGTTACTGACATGGTGTGGGTAGTACCAACGTCACTCTAATCCTCCGAATGCTCTATTCACAAACCCTACCACAAAGAGCCTTTATCATGTCACTGCCCCTATATGCCCACTTTCATTCTCTGCGATTCTCATTTGGATTAATGATCAATCTCCTTAAGAAAAATCTATGTTATGTTGGTTATTTTATTGCTAACATGCTTTTTTAGTTACTCCAATTAGGAAAAGATAATGAACCTTTTGGACTAAAACGTAAGCATAGAAAGAAAAATGACATCACATGAAGAAGGCACATGGATACTTGAAACACTAGCCATACCACTTTAACACTAAGTTTTTAAGCGTATTTTATTGGGATTTAATGCAATGGACCAGAGATAAATAACGGCAGTTGATATGAGGAAGGAGAATGAAATGTGTGGAATGTACTGTATATGTATTTGTCCAACTTTACTCCGATAATAACAAAACAAATCCTAGAGCATCCACTAGTCTTTAGAAGCTACAATATCAGTCAAAAGAGTAAAACTGTAAGTAATATGATCTTTGTATAAATCTAATGGCTCTAAGATGGCCTCCTTTGTCTGTTATAGAAAAAACTGGGGCTGCACGTTGGTGCAGTTTGGAGCACTGTTATGGAACTAGAAGAGTCACAAAAACATCTGTGAGCTACACATGAACAGCACAATCCACTCATACACAAAACAAGAGCCACACATGCAGAGTACAAGATCCACACATTCACAGGACTGGATCCACACATGTAGAGGACAAGATCCACACATTCACAGGACATGATCCACACATGCAGAGGACATGATCCACACATGCAGAGGACAAGATCCACACATGCAGAAGACAGGATCCACACATGTAGAGGACGACATCTAAACATGCAGAGGACAGGATCCACACATGCAGAGGACGACATCTAAACATGCAGAGGACAGGATCCACACATGCAGAGGACAAGATCTAAACATGCAGAGGACAGGATCCACACATGCAGAGGACAAGATCTAAACATGCAGAGGACAAGATCTAAACATGCAGAGGACAAGATCTAAACATGCAGAGGAGAAGATCTGAACATGCAGAGGACAAGATCCACACATGCAGAAGTCAAGATCCACACATGCAGAGGACAAGATCCACACATGCAGAGGACAAGATCCACACATGCAGAAGTCAAGATCCACACATGCAGAGGACAAGATCCACACATGCAGAGGACAAGCTCTAAACATGCAGAGGACAAGATCTAAACATGCAGAGGACAAGATCCACACATGCAGAGGACAAGATCTAAACATGCAGAGGACAAGATCTAAACATGCAGAGGACAAGATCCACACATGCAGAGGACAAGATCTAACCATGCAGAGGACAAAATCTAAACATGCAGAGGACAAGATCTAAACATGCAGAGGACAAGATTGACTCGATGCACAAACGCATTTTTTCTTTCATTCAGTTACTCTTCCAGTTGTACAAGAAAACAAAAATAAGAGCTAGGTTGCATTGGTCTTTTTAAAGCATATTCTTTTCAATAAAAAAATATTTAATTTATAATCATGTGTTAAGCTCAAATCTAACTCTAACTAAGATTCAAGGGTAAGACAGTAGCACCCGAGGACTGAATGATGTCGCCTTTCTTTGCTCTACCTCCTATCTGAAAATTTTACATTCGAGATGTGCAGAGCTGGTGAAGACATATTCCAAGAGACCTGCAGCTATAATTGCTGTGAATGATAATTCAACAACACATTGACCTATGGGCAGAATAAAAATACATACCACACTTTTAAGAAAGATATTAGGAAAAATATATTTGGAAATAAAATATATTTAACAATTATGACTAATATTGCAACTTTAAAATACTTGAAGGCATGAAAGGCAGAAAGATTAATCTAAGTTCTTATAAAATTTTACCAACTATTAGAAAATCAAACCAATGGCTCTTTACTACATTTATTAGACCAACAAATAGCATTTTCACTGAATATATATTAGCAACTCCATATCTATTTGGTAGTCTGTAATCTAAACTACAAGAGTTATCAATTTGTTCACATTAAGCACCTAACCTCTGCTAGCAGCAGAGAACTAAGAGAGGGCATGAGATAGGCCACCATTTTGTTTGGCACAGTGTGGAGTATAATCGCAACAAACACTCCAAAGACCAGACTGTTTACAGTAACTATAGGAACTAGCTGCCATCCACACAGGACTCTGATGTGTCATGACTTATATTACCAACAATCGGGTCTAGTTACCCTGCAGCAGCTTCACTTGGTAAAGGTTGTTTGACAGGGATTGGTGGAGGTGGAGGATAATTTTTGTAACAGTTTGGAAGAAATGTTTAACAACAGCACATAAGGTGTATGGTTTTAACTATTAGCAACATGCAATGTTTATAGTAACTAACCCCCTTTAAAACCCCTACTTTCAATTTCTTAAAATAGTAGGTAGTTTTTGGATCACCATCATTCTGGCTTCAAAAATCAAAGTTTACCCTACAGCCCCCCTGTGGTTTAAACAAAGGACATTGAAATGTGTCGTTTCTTGTCTTTAGGTTTATAATATGTCTTGCCGACAAGTTAATAGAAATTGATCATCTGTGTGGTAAGCATACAGTTTTTATGCAATTATCAAAAAAGTCTACTTTCCATTTAGGCCATCGTGTTGAAATGCTTGACTCATATTACACCCTCTTGTTTTGTCACAATGAAAAGCAAATCCATTACAACATCAACAGGTAGATGTTTCGAAATGTATTCTTATGGTATAATTAACCCGTCTAATTGTGTTTTTATTGATCTAGTGCAGCTCAGCTGCTACAGTAGGACGAATGGGATTTAGTGTCCTCTGAACACATGACAGCCCTATCTCCTCAGTACTGTAAAATAATTTAACAACAGTCATCAAAGTGGTTGTCTGTTTACTCAGCATGTGGTAACACACAGACACCTAATAAAAGCCAGCTTTGCAAACAAAATTTAACTGTAATGTGAAAAGTAGAATAAAACAAAAAAACAAGTCACCATTCTAAAGTTATTGCAATCAGTCAGTTTTTAAACACAGACAGCATCCAATATGACAGCAATATGTCTGAATGTGTCAAACTATGTATGCTTCAAAACATTTAATACCTAGAGCAGAGGAGGTAAGGGCATCCAGAGGTAGGAGGAGTTATCATCTGGAATAGTGGTGAAAACATAAGGGGCAGGGGACAGTTGACTTTCCCATCCCAGAGCTGTTTATAATAGCAACAAGATCTTTTGATACCATTATCTTTTTAAACCCGGTCAGCATTTGACAGCAAGGCAAACCAATGAAAGTCTGCAGTTAAAAAAAAAAACTCTAAATACAAAAATTTTACAATGATAAGGCCAGAAAACAGACGTTTAACTTCAAGAACTCAGCCGTCTACCGCCCGGACACAAGTTTACTTTTTATTCTACCACCAGAACATGAGAACAGGTCTGACAAGTTCCGTCTATCCAAGATGTAAGATATGTAACATCAACAATCCCAATGCTGGCTTTATGCTTCAGGAATAAAAGTTGGAAAGTTTAACCAAACTCTGTGATCCAGTCTATTGGGTTAGAGAGGGAAAAAAAATATGTTCTTTAAGTTAATGCAGATTGCCACAGCAATATTTAGTAATAATTTAGGTAAGAGCTGTATCAACTAAATTTCAGACCATTTGTTTGGAACCCAGTATTCTGGCTTGACCCTATAAACACAACCAAGCCTGAATCGACTCGTACATGACCCAAACCAGGATTAGCAGAACAAGGACTTTTCTGCAGCAGGTCCATCATCCTAGAATGGCCTCCAGTCAGAATCAGAATACACAGACATTTGGGTTTTCTAAAGTTATTTTTCAAAACTTTTCATATTGTCCAAAATTCTGAGGATTTTCTCCAGCAGAGAGAACTGCCTCTCCTTCACTTGTTGCTGTGCTATACCAAGTTAGTAGGCAGAAGGAAGGCTTTAACCCTTTTCCATCACTTAGATGACAAGTTTAACTGCTTGATTCTTTTTAGGGTAAAACGTGTAAAATTTTTGTTGACAAGGTATGAGTCTGCAAGCAAGCTTTAGTGAAAGAAAGCCAATTGGTTTTAGCTGTTAAAAAATATTTGAAATCACTGTGTTATTGTGATACAGTGCTATTTTTACTTTATATTGTTATACTAAAAGAATCTAATCTACGCGCATGCCTTGTTGAGGTTGGTTTATCTATTAAAAATGTTTGGCTTTGTGCAAAGCTCAGATATTTATTAATGCTGAAGCAATAAATAAGGAATAAACCAAGGATGAAAGTCTTTTGACACTTGGCAGGGTTAATACGGTAATCGATCAGAACCCTCTGAGCCTGGCACATCT